ATAAACAACTGTAATTCTACTTTTGCCCCATCCTGTGTATTATCATACACTTGTCCTGAATGTATCAAATTTGGACTCCCATCAATAGTATATGTAGATGCTCACATTCTTACATACTCATACTGGGTATTAAAAATATTTTAATCTTTGTCATCTCCTCTCATTCTAAACATCAAATTTTATATAACACCACACTAAGAGACAAAAATACTTTATACCTTGGTCATCATGTTTTCCTCTCCATATAGCACTTCCATTTGGAAATTTCGGTAAGTGTTATCTATATTGTTGATTTTATTTACTGCTAAGGTGATTCCTGGATTTTTGTCAATCATAACTTGGCCTAAAAGAAAAAATTAAAATTCATAACAAATGTTGCCTATTGAATTAAAAAAACAAAAACTGCATGAAATGGAAATGAAATTATTTTCTTTTGTTTCACAGATAAAAACTGCATCTAATGTGTGAAAAGTGACATGCAATTCTAAAAAGTCAACTGATTGATAATAATTATCACCTAACAGCCTCCAATATAAATACACAATAAATGTATGGGTACATTTTTAAGGGAATAGTTTTGAGGAGTTTGGGTCTACCTACTATTTTTCTATGCTTTTTGCTAAATCTCAAATGTACCAATACTACAATAACTAAAAAGGATCATATGAATTTGTAAAGAATAGAAAAAAGAGATGTAAGGCCCGAGGCAACATCTCAGAAAACACCAGCCCTGTAGCCACTGGCCTCAAATCAAATGTTTGTTTTACTGGATATTTGAAATACATGCCCCCACTTTGGAAATGTATACCAGTAAAATAATGTTTTCAAATAAAGGAAACACATTCTTCAGTCTTAGCTAAATAGAATTTTCATTTAAATTGTTCTTTTTGTCAAATATCTGCTACAGCAGAAAAAGCTACAAAAATAATACATAAAATTCACCAGAAATGATATAGTGATACCCTTTAATCAAAGCCTACTTTTTTTGGTCAGGAGTTAAGAAAGAAATTTGTAAGAATCTGCATTCTATCTCATTGTATAAGGAAAAATAATTTGATTTTTAAGTTAGTAAAAAGTACTCAATAATACAAATATGCTGAAATACAACAAGAATTTATCCAGTTTTTCTCTGATCTAGTTATCAGATTCTAAATATGATCATATCAATAAACTCTAGTCAATCATTGTTCTTATCCTGTTCTGGATCAGGTATCAGAACTCAATCATAGAAAAGCCTAAATTTGACATTTGCACCTAGTCATAATTACAAGGGTCTGCTTAAGTATTTATTATGCTATTATTATGCATTATCAGCCCCTTTCATCAGTAAAACAAAGGAAGTGCATCAGTAAAAAAAGGTAGCATATTTCTGAAATCATAGCCATGCAAAATACCAAGCACTATATTTTAAAGATGAAAATAATTCCCAGAAGTTCTGACTATTATTATACATTAAAATAATCTGGAGTAAAATAATCTGGAGAATGCACGGGCATCGAATACTCATAAAAACAAGTGCAATTTTGATTAGTTTTTTTACTCTTCTTTTATACCAAAGAATAAAGGATCCAGGTTCAAATTTGGTGCTATAAAGGTACAACATACACAAGTATCATTTCTATTTTTTATTTTTTATTTTTGAGAAGTAGAAGGGGCGGTAGGATGGGATGGGAGGGGAGGGGAGGGAAGGGGAGGGAGGAGGCCAGCGCTTCACGTGAAGCCAGTGGGCATGGGAGCTGGCCAGCCGTCGTCATCGTCCCCCCCTCTCCCCCTCCAGTTCCCATCCCAGTCCTGGCCCGTCTCCAGCTTCCTGCCCCACAAGCATCACTTCTAAAAGACTAGGTGCACTAAAAACCAAAGTATGGTGCTGACATACAGAAGAGGCTCTATTAGTTGAATCCATGAAAAGTATGAGTAAATAGTGTTTTGCAATTGTGACTATAAAAAAAACTCAATTTTATGAAACTTAGCATACAACATAGTCCTGAGGCCTACTAAAGCCTGGGTACCAAAGTGACGAGTCGCCAAAGAATTCTGCCAAAGCAAGTGATTTAAGCATTATCTAAACTTATGTACCATGTACACAAAAGCTTGAACTGATATCTAAAGCTTGGGATGACTCTGGAATGGGTATTCCAAAATGGCCCACAAAAGAAAATGTAGCTTAAGATCCAGCTGAAAATTAAAAAGACAAAATGGCTTGCTTCTGCAATTTGGCATTTAAAAAATAACTTATAAATTAGAACTTTGTAACTGATTTCTAGCACAGAAATATCACTAAAACATACCTACCAATTAAATGCTTGAAAGGCAGTTGATGATCTCGAAGGTTCAGGTGCGCAATATGTCCAACTCTGCTAAACCCTGAAGTCACATCTTGACCTTCAGGTAGCACAGCTCTCAGGATTTCTTCTGACTTGAAGTTCTCATAAGTTAGTTCCAAATTATATTTAGATATCTGTGGACTGACATTAAGCTGCTTTAAAATACTGAGTTCTGCTTCCTCAAAGGAATCGTTAGTAAATATTTTATAGGGATCCAACATAATTAGTCTACTTTCTTCATCTTCTGGATCTTCAATCACACGTTTTATGCCCGGTCGCTGCAGTGCTGCCCTTTTAAGGGATCGCATCAATTTATTGACGATTTCTTTCCTCACTTTAAGCGTCGGGATGGTGACTGTCTTGTTAAAAGCTGTTCTATCCAGTGTTGTCATTCCTCGGACATCAGAGGGTGGTGAAAATAATTCTGAGTCTCTTTGATCTCTTTCTATTTCAGGCATGGTTGAGAATCTTTTTCTTTGATCCAACAAGAAAATGTCAGGTGCTTTGCTATGTTTCAGTGATGTCCAAGCTAATGGGATCAATGATTCTGATTTAGTTACGCTACAGCTTTCCACTTTGAAAAGTCTTCTTAAGAATCCAAATGGCCTCCAGAAGATCCTAAAAAAGTATTCATTTAAAAACCATAAAGCTACAAACTAACATGTTCACAATAGGTTTTGAGAATGAAAATCTAAATTGTTTTACATACCCTGCTAAATGCTATTAATTAAAACTTTTAGTGGTGTGTGAGTATTCATATTGTCTTTTTCAGGGCAGAATGACTTTTAAAAAAAATTTTTATTGATTTTTTACAGAGAGGAAGGGAGAGGGATAGAGTTAGAAACATCCATGAGAAACACCGACCAGCTGCCTCCTGCACACCCCCTACTGGGGATGTGCCTGCAACCAAGGTACATGCTCTAGATCTGAATCGCACCTGGGACCCTTCAGTGCAGGCCAACGCTCTATCCACCCGAGACAAACCGGTTAGGGTTCACATTTTCATCTTAAAAATGAGTAAACTAAAGCTCATTGATAGGTTAACTCACCCAGTTTCCTTGTTTGTAAATGGCTAAGCAAGGATTAAAACCCAGGTCTGATTTCAGTGCCTGTGTTATTAATATACTGCAATGTTACCTTTGATGTTTATTGCCCCAAGCAAGTCTTGCCTATAACGAGATTTCAGTATTTGAGGACAGAGTTCTTTACTGAGTATTATATACACATGCCATTAAGGGTATTGATTACTGTCCTGCGCCTAGTGGCTCAGAGCTGACCAATGAATCAGGTCACACAGTTGGCCCTATCCTCAGTAGGGCATGCCTGAGGCAGCTGATCAATGACTCATCATTGATGTTTCCATCTCTTTCTCCCTCTCCCTTCCTCTCTCTAAAATCATACATATAATTTGCCTTCTTGAACACTAAAGAAGTAACTTGAAGAGGAACGGGTCCTGCCCGCACCAACCCTGTAGAGCTAATGTCAGACTTCACAGCCAGGGTTCAAATTGGGTCCATTAGTTAGCCAGCTGTGTGGTCCTGGGCCAATTCCGTAATAAGACGGGCTTCCCCTATATTAAATGTGGCTACAGGGGCTATCAGAAAGCTTTTGGAAGGAAGAAACCGTTCCTCACTACCCAGCACTCGAGCCTGGGCTCAGCACCGGGGCTGATACTGGGTGACCTCGCGACGTGTAGGCGCCTGGGCTGCGCGGAGGACCGCAGCGCGGAGGGCAGCAGCCCCGGGCAGGCCGGCGCCGCAGGCGGAGCCGCAGCCCCTGCGAACTGAAACAGGCCCCGAGGCGGCGGCGGCGGCGGCCACCTCCCCAAGGTCGCCACCTCCTTCGTGGTGTCGCTTCGCATCTGGCTCCGCGACTCCGATCCCTCACCTCATGCTCCGCTGCAGCTCGGAAATGGGTCGCCGGTGGATGGATTGGGTCTGGATGACGTCATCACTGCTCGCCGCCTAGGAGAGACGTCATCAGATCGCGTCTATCCCCTCCTTTCTCCGGGCCTCGTGGAGGTACGGAAACCCGGGAGGGCGGGCCGGGCCTAAAGCCCCGCCTCTGGCGCGGCTGACGATGCGAGGACTGGGGTAGTAGCTCGCAGATGGACCTGGTCGTTGGCCAGCGAGCAGCATGGAGGCGCCCTGGGGAGTCCGCAGCATCCAGCAGGGCTGGTACGTCTCTTCCCTGCAGCCCGAGGAGGCGGAGGCGGAGGCGCAGGAGGAAGAGTTGAGCCCGTTGCTAAGCAACGTAAGTTGGCTCCGCTACCCTCCGGGCGCTGACTGCCGCCCGGCTCCCCTGCCTGCCTGCCTGCTGAGACCGGGAAAAGCAGGGGGGTGGCACGGGGAGAGGGGCGTGGGCCGTAGGGACTCGGAGTCGGCGGTGTGCATCGGTGTGAGAGCCCCCTGAGGTGCCCTCGGGAGGAAAGGCGGAGCAGGTGCAGCGGATACGGGACCGGAGGAGCAGCCCTGGGGCTAGGGGGCTCACTGCTGTCCTCGGATATCTTTGTCTGCTTCCCCTTTCCTCCACCAGCCTCGTGAGATGTTTGCAAGAGTCACAAGATTTTTCTTTCCTCGACTTAGTCATGGGTGCCCCGTAAACATCTCAATACAGAGATCCTTCACTTGTAAAGTAGTGGAGGTGGGCCGGTAATAAGTACATCACACGCTCCTCACCCTGAAACCTGGGCAATGGGTACTCGGCTTTTTAACTCAAGTCCCCGAGTTAACAGATTCTAGGACCTTGTTCCCAAATGCTATTTTGGGGGAAGGTTATTTTCAGAAATATCCTCAAGAGTAAAATGAATTGCTGATTCTACCGTCATTGCAAGGTCCAGTTGGGTGGACTTAATTCATTACCGGTAAGTAATATAAAAACCAGCCCTAGCCGGTTTGGCTCACTGGATAAAACGTCAGCCTGCGAACTGAAGGAAGTGTCGCAGGTCAGATTAGGGTCAAGGGATGGTATCTGGGTTGGAGACTCGATCCCCAACTCTGTTCAGGATGCATGCAGGAGGCAACCAAGCGATGTGTCTCTGATGTTTCTTCTCCCTCCCACTCTCTCTAAAAAAATAAATAAAAATCAATGGAAAATATCCTCGTGTGAGGATTAACAACAACAACAACAACAAAAGAACACACCAAAAAAACCCCAAAACTTAGTGTTGCCCTACTAGCAATCGGGGAGCATTGGTATACAGCAGCCTCACGGTGAGCCAGGAATTCTTCAGTAATGAGCTGAGGCCATCAGCCTGATCTCCCTCCCCACTCCATTCCAATCCTATCTTAATCTTTTGCAGTCACAGAGGTCTTCCTGAAGCCTACCTGGCTTCTGAGAGTGGTGGAGATGATTTTCCTGGGAAACTAGATTTCTGGAGCTGCTAGCAGGGAGTGAAAAGGGAAGGAAAGCAGCTAGTCCTGACTGAGCAGCTAGTGTGTCACACAATGCGTGTGGTCCTGCAAATAACCTGTAGGTCATTTCTGGATGAAACTTGAATTCACCATGCAAACATTTAACACTATTAAATTTGTGTGCTTCCAGGAACTTCACAGACAAGGATCCCCAGGTGTTTCATATTTTCTCTCAGTGTTTAATTTGATGAAGGCCATCATGGGAAGTGGCACCCTTGGCTTAGCTTTTGTTATGGCTAATACTGGTATCCTTGGATTTAGGTGAGTTTTTTTTCTTATTTTACCATAACTTCTCCCCCATCCCCTCTTCATTTTGATAGTTCAGTAAGACAGATGAGACTCCAGAAGCTGGTGTTATCCAATTTCTAATTAAGTTATTCCTGGGATTTTAGCATTTTTTTATTGTTATTGTTGCAGTCTGTAGCTTGGAGGAATGCTATATAATTTGCGTTTTTTTAAATCCAAAAGTGTGGCTAATTTTAAAAATGGGAGACTTGGTCTAACTAGTTTATGACCTTAAGACATGACTTATTTGTTGTGTCAAGTTGGCCAAAGTGAATCAAAATTTATCAGCCATACAGATTACTTATAAGTAGCAATTTTGTGAGTGTAAGTAAAGCACATAATCTTTTCATTGCTGTCTAACTCCTCCTCTCCTCCCACTGTTAAGTAGTCTTTTTCCTTTCCAAGGCCAGATGTGGTCTCTGCCTATTTCTTTTCATCTTTCAAGACTCTGCTCATACACCAGTTTGTCCAAAATAAAAGACATTCCTAGCTTTTCTGTGCTCCCATAGTTCTTTGTATATTCATTTTGTTATCATATAATATCAATATAATATAATGATTTGTTTGCAAATCAATTTCCCTACTAAACTCAGAAATTCTTTAGAACTGAACCTTATCTTTAGCATCTAGCACCATGGTCAGTAGACTGAACATACTTGTTTTGTCAGAAAAAGATCTATTTTACTAGTAAGTTTAAAGTATACAGAGTGTCATTTAGGCGATTTAAATTATTTTTTATTTAATTTTTATTTTTTAAATAATAAGAGAAAGTTTATTTATCCCAGCCAGTGTAGCTCAGTGTTTGAGCATTGACCTATGAACCAGGAAATCATGGTTCGATTCTTGGTTGGGTCACATGCAGGAGGTGTGCAGGAGGCAGCTGATCAATGATTCTCTCTCATTAATGCTTCTATCCCTCCCTTCCTCTCTGAAGTCAATAAATTTATTTTTTTTTTTTTAAAAGAAAGTTACAGAGGAAGAAGCAGTGAGCCAACTGGGCTGTGTAGGCTCAGGAAACAAGTTACAGAGACAAAAGTGGGCCCCTTAGAGCTTAGGAGAGAGAAAGGCAAAGGTAATGCACCTGGGGGAAAAAGGGGGAAGAAAACCCCTCCTCCCCCAAGTTCCCTAGCTTATTTTTATTTTGAATTTCTTGATAAGCAAACCAACTTTTAAGTAACTCGTTTTTATTATGGGATATGTTCATCACAAACTTCATAACTTTAAAACTTCAAAACTATAGGATACTCCCCCAAAACACACACACACACACACACACACACACACACACACACATATATTTCTTGATAGCTCAATTGATGTTTCTTTCTTTTCAGACTTAACCCATTGGCATTAATAATTCAAAGTGTGTATACATTTTTGGGGGACACCCTGTATATGTGACACCTTAGGCAAGACATAATCATAGAACTTAATTTTTGTTGTTGTTATCCTCATCCAAGGATATTTTTTTCTTTTTTTTTTTTTTTTTTTAGAAAGAGTGGGAAGGAGAGGAGGAGGGAGTTGGAGAGAGAAACATCGATGTGAGAAAGATTTGCCTTCCACGTGTGCCCTAATCAGGGCCTGGGTTCAAACCTGCAACCCTTCTATGTATGGGCCAATATTTTAACCACTGGGTACACTGTCCAGGCAGGTTTTATTTTTGGTTCCCTTTGAAAATTCGTGTTTTATAATTCATGTTTTATACATGCAGACATATACCACTGAATGTGTGTATGAGCCTGAGAATAAGTAGGGGAGTATACATGTTATTGTTTTTCACATTGTGGCAGGACCCCGATTGCTATATTGTTTGTACATTTTTCAAGTTGTGTTATTAGTTGTGTGTTAGTGCATTTTGTGGGATGGGAAAGTTGGTTTGCTGAGTGTGTGTGTGTGTGTGTGTATGTATGTGTTTAATAGATGGTAGGAATTTCAGTCTTAATTTAACATAATAAAGATATGATACGGTGGTACACATCATTCAGAGGGGAGGAATGGAGGGAAATAGGAGAGGACAATGAGATCTCACAACTAAAGCTTTTGTTTCAACTTAAAATAGGAAAAATAGTCATAAAAGGGAATATTACAAGATTATTGAGTAGCTGAACCATCAGTCAGTAGACAAGAGTGCTAAAATAGGAAATTAGTTTTTATTTAGATAAAGCTTGTTTCTTTCTGATTTTTGTTTGTTTGTTTAAAAGCAGTATATTTTCACTTAAATAAAATTTGGTAAATACAGAAAAATACCTTCTTACTTTTTTTAGTGACCATATTCCAACTACTCAAAGATAGTCTCTATGAGACTTTAAAAAAATTTATTTTTGTAAGAGATATGGTAAGAAAAAACAAAAAACTTTCTTTGTACCCTTTTGTATTTTAGTTTTTTGCTGCTGATAATTGCTCTTCTGGCTTCTTTCTCAGTTCATCTCCTGCTTACTATGTGTATTCAGACAGGTGAGTAAAAACATTATGCTGATTCATTTGATGAAGCATCCCCTAGAGCAGTGTTTCCCAAAACTTTTGACATATGTGTACCCCTTCTCTAATTTCATAACGCTGAGTACCCCTCGTACTCATGAGAACATAGAATTAGGTGCAGCTAAGCACGGTGCAGTGCATATCCCCACCAAACTCTGGTGCAACATGTACCCCACCAAACTCTTCCCGTACCCTTGGGGGTACGCATACCACACTTTGGGAAACAGTGCCCTAGAGATTGTATTAATGTATAAGATTGGATATTTCACATCTAATTTCCACTGGGCACACATTATTACCAGGTAGTGTGGTTGAAATGGAGAATTTCAAAAGGCCAGGATATATAGAGGCAATTCTGTTGGGCAATATCTAATGACAGGATGGGAGGAGGAAACTAGCATTCTTACCTGCCTTTCTCCACAACACAACCTAGTTTTCTGGCTGTTAACAGTATTCTAACCTCAACTCCCACTCCTCCCAAACTCCTGAAACCTTTCCACTTTGCTCTCTAGAATTCATGGTCAGTCAGTAGCAAAACTGTGGCTTCAGTTTTTCTCTGAACATTTCCTTCATTTTCTTACTCTGAGAGGACCTTAGTCTTTTCTGAGGACACTGTAGTGCTCTCAGATAGCCTCTCTTTTCTCTCCCATGTCCCTCAAACTAGTCTGGAGATGACCTTCAAAAATCTTGGGGAGCCAAAACCGGTTTGGCTCTGGATAGAGCGGCGGCCTGCGGACTGAAAGGTCCCCGGTTCGATTCCAGTCAAGGGCATGTACCTTGGTTGTGGGTACATCCCCAGCGGGGGGGTGTGCAGGAGGCAGATGGTTGATGATTCTCTCTCATCGATGTTTCTAACTCTCCATCCCTCTCTCTTCCTCTCTCTAAAAAATCAATAAAATATGTTAAAAAAAAAAATCTTGGGGAAATTATTTCATTATAGAATTCTATACCCAGCCAAATTATCATTTAAATGTGATGATAGAATGATGACATTTTTTTTGTACATGCAAGGACTAAAGAATTACCACACATCCTTACTTGGTGAGAAATGAAACACGCCATTTACCAAAGTTAGGGAACAAGGAATCTTGCATAGGAGAGAAGTAAAGGTAATTTCCAGGACAATAATTGAACAGCACATCTAAGAGCCACCTCCAAAGGGGAGTAGTCCTTTTTACATAGGCATAGTCAGCCCTCCAGGCTTGCCCTCAGGAGGTGTTCAGGATAAAAACCCTTTTCTTCTTCTTCTTCCTGAAGGGAATGCCTTTCTTATTTATCTTTCTAGCTCCAATTTGTGATAACAGTACCCGAGCAAGTTATCTTCAGGCCTGACTATTTCAAAGGAGTAAGAATCACATAGTGGGAGATAGATGCAAGGTATCAAGGGGAATAAAAGAAAGAAACAGACTAAGCTAGAATTGAGTTAGAATTGAGAGGAGCTGAAGTTTGACTGAATGTGGAAAGTAATGGAGAAAGAGATCTCTAAGGATATCTCTTATATTTCTGGCATGGGCCACTGGGTCATTTGAACTTGGCAGGAGGTATTGGTTCAGAATAAAAATGAATTCCATTTTGGATATGTGGACTTTGAAGTATATCTAGATGGACAGGTCCTAGAACATAAGCCCAGAATACAGGTTAATGCATCCATTCAATACTCTTATCTTCAGAGATAAATAAGACTCAATTCCCTGTAAAAGCTTATCCTATATAATAAAAGGCTAATATGCAAGTAGACTGAACGGTGGAACAACTGGAACAACCCATCGCTATGACATGTGCTGACCATCAGGGGGCATATGTGGAACATGGCGAGTGTTGGGTGTGGTGGGATGGTAAAGCAGGTGAACAGGGGTGCCAGACCAAGGCAGGGCACCAGTCGCTGTCATCAGGGCAAGTCTCTGGTGGTTACAGAAAATTCTTTGCTCCTGTGTGCCATGGTCCTGTCCACTGCTTGCATCCATTGCCAGTGACAGCCCTGCTCGCACTTGCAGCTGGCACCAGAGCCACCACTAGCACTTGCTGCCAGTGCCCTATGTCAATCCTGATCGCTCAATGCCATTAGCAGATGCGAGTAATGGCTGCCGGCTCTGATCACCCACAAGGACTTCACCTCCCCCTGTTCCTGAGGGGTGATTGGGGCAGCAGCCGCTGCTTGTGCCACTGATGGCACTAGCCCCAATCACTCCGCACCATCAGTGGGTGTGAGTGGGCCCAGCACCATCAGCATGTGGGAGCGGAGGGAGTGGGGCTGACAGAGGACCAGGGGTCATGGCGGGAAGGGCCGAGACCTGCCCTGTGCCTACCGCAGCCTCTTGGCCCACAGTTCTTTTCAAGGTGCACAAATTCGTGCACTGGGCCCCTAGTCTATAATGATAAAAGTGTAATATGCTAATTAGACTGGACGTCCTTTTAGACAAAGCCAGGGCTGCAAGAGCCAAGGCAAGCCGCCAAGGCTGCCAGGGCCAAGCCCCTTGCACAAAATTCGTGCATCGGGCCTCTAGTAGTCTAATAATAGGGGAGACAAATGCTTATAGTCTAATAAAAGGGGAACAAATAATTTATAATGTAGTATGATAAGTGTAACAATTCAAATATGTGCAAGGTGCAGTGATAACTCAGAGGAGGGAATGATCTGCCTTGTCTAGAGTGGGGAGTGATGGTCAGTATGTATTATTGAAGGACTGAGCTAACAAGGAATTTAACTAGCAGACAAGGCAAGAGAGAATACAAATGTACAAAAGCATATACTGCATATTTTACTTATGGTACAAAAAATAGCTTATTATTCATGCATAAAGTACATGGAAGAAAATGAAACTGAAGAGACAGGCAAGTGTCAGTTCGTAAAGAATTTGGAGTTGTGCTTGAGGCAGTGAGAAGGCACTGAGGTGTTTGAAAAGGGTCAGGGTTGCCCTGCTCGTGTGGCTCAGTGGTTGAGTGTTGACCTATGAACCAAGAGGTCATGGCTTGATTCCTGGTTGGGACACATGCCGGGTTATATAAATTAAAAAAGGAGTCAAAGAATAAAATGATCCCTTATGCTCTGGATATGTTATTTCTACTTACCCCCTGAGTTATTATTGAGACAGTAATTCTCAATACCATCCGTTACACTCACCCTCCCTTTTATATATAAAAAAATTCTAGATGCTCCATTTACTATCCTAGAGGTACTGTGATGGGCTGCATAATGGTTCCCTCTCTCCTCCCCACCCCACCCCCGCCCCAAATACATCCATATCCTAATCCTTAGAACCTGCGAATGTTAATTTAAATAGCAAAAAAGGACTTTGCAGGTATAATTAACTTAAGAATATTGAGATGGTGGACTCCAAATGTGTCAAGGAGGGAGACCACAGACAGAGGAGAAGAAGGCATTGTGACCACAGAGGCAGAGATGTGGCCATAGATCCAGGCAGGCTAGCAATCACCGGGACCTGGAAAAGGCAAGGAATGGGTTCTCCCTGGACCCTCTGAAAGACCGTGGCCCTGTTGGCACCTTGATTTTGACCCACTGAAATCGGGCCTACAGAACGGTTAATTTAAAAAATATATATATTTTATTGATTTTTTCACAGAGAGGAAGGGAGAGGGATAGATACAGTTAGAAACATCGATGAGAGAGAATCATCGACCAGCTGTACAAGCCCTTGACCGGAATCGAACCTGGGACCCTTCAGTCCACAGACCAACGCTCTGTCCACTGAGCCAAACCCGTTTCGGCCAGAACTGTTAATAAATTTCTGTTGTTTTAGGCCACCAAGTTTGTGACAATATGTTCCAGCTGTCCTGGGAAACTAAATACTACTTATACATAAATAATATTGTTCAGTAGAATAAAGGAGACCCAAAACCAAAGTAAATGCTGTTGGTTATATGATTTTCCTAAATGGTGAACAATTTTTGACAAAGTTCCAAACAAAACAAAATATACATTTACATGGTAGTTACATTCCTTGAAAGGAATAATAGTGTATATTTAAACAACCATTGTTTTCTTAGCATCTATCAAACCATGCTTGACACACAGAGGGTATTTAATAAAAGCTGGTTGCATGGGCTATGAATGGATGGATATATTATAGCTACAGAGAGATTCTGTTTTAAAAGTTCCAAAATAAATAAAAGTTCCAAAATCAACACACAAGGCAAAAATTATGTATAGTCAAAATTACCTTTGAAAATTTCTTATATAGGCCCTGGCTGGTTGTTCAGTGGTTAGAACTTTGGCCTGAGGACCAAAGGGTCACAAGTTCGATTCCTGGTCAAGGGCATATACCTTGGTTGCAGGTTCCACAGCCCCAGTAAGAGCTGGTGCAGAAAGCAACCAGTTGATCTGTCTCTCTCACATTGATGTTTCTCTCGCTCTCTTTCCCCCTCCTACTTTCCCTTCTACTCTCTTTAGAAATCAATGGAAAATATATCCTCGGCTGAGGATTAAAATTTTTTTTTCCCTTGTATAGTTTATAAAATAGTGTTCAACATTTACATGACCTGATGGATGTCACTAACATACCATTTCTCAATGAAGCTGAGAGACTTTTTTGTCAAGCCTTGATCTGGGCACCATAAAAAGGATATGGATTGCTCCATGGTCATGATGAATCTCCTTCAGTCCTGCAAGATGCTCTCACTGAGAGGAACTGATCAAAAGAGTATAGAATCCTTTTTAAAAAAATATATATTTTATTGATTTTTCACAGAGAGGAAGAGAAAGGGATAGAGTTAGAAACTTCAATGAGAATCATCAACCAGCTGCCTCTTGCACACCCCCTATTGGACTAGAAAGGAAGGGTGAGTGTGAATCTCTATAGGTTAAACATATTTTTTAAATTAACCTGCTATTTTATTTTAATTAAAAGTAATCTCTAGTCACACACGTGTGCATGAATGTGTATGTGCGTGCACTTGTGCAGGAGGGTGTGGAGCATTTCCCATCTGTTCTCTCACTTTTAGTCTCATTTCCCAGAGCT